AGGGAAACTGCTACATTTCTCAACATATGAAGTACGCAATTTACTTGTGGTACCATGATTTTTCCTCCACATATCCAGGGAGATACATACTAAATAAACAAGTATAGCAATCAAAGATCCCTGGAAAGAGGCAGAATCTCCCTCTTGCACCCACACTCAGAAATCCACATAAACATAGCCACAATGTCCCTAGAAACCACATCGCCTTTTAACCTGCTCTTTACCTCCCTTCCTTTTTTTTTGTCCTGTCATGTTTCTGTGTTGTGGCACTTTGGTTTCCTGCATATTTAAACTTTGCAGCATTATGGGAGGCCATTGCTGTCGCTTTGCCCCGGCACTGAGGCTCCTGGGTCTGCTGGTGCACATTGCAACGCTCAGTGTTGGGGCTGATTGCAGAGCCTGGAGGTGCCTCTGGAAGCCGGCTATGGTGGTAAAGCTCCTTTTCCTTCCAGAAGGCAATACTAAGCTACCATCTTTCTTCAGATCACACTATTTATCCACCTCCTTTAGACACAGTAAGACACATCCTGGAAAATCCTTAGTGTGCTCTATTCTTCATTACATATTTATCGTCCAAGAAGGTCTTTTGAGGAGCTCAGCACCTTTCAGGATGTGTCTTCAGTACAAAGAACCCATGCATTCCTGGTTACTACAGTCATCTGTGCAAAGCTAGAGCAGAGAATACAAACTGGTCTGTTTGTTTGTTTATTTTGTGCAGAAAGCTCTTCTTGATAAAATTTTTATGAGATCATCCCACCCTTCCTCCAAAACAGGCCCAAATCAAACTACCCTTGGTAATTATGGATAGGGGATAACAGGAACATTTTGTAAAATGGTATCTTTTTCTTCTATTAAAGTGATATAAACGGTGAGTTTTCTGTAACTACCCTCATTGACGTTACTGTTGAATACTGTACTTGTTATTGGCATTGCAGCTGGATTAAGAGGCCTAAACATCTCTGTGTTGAAATAAATACAAATATATTACACATTAATAAGCTTACACATAGTATTTGTGTAAGCTTATCTCAAAAGGCACACAACTACTACAGTTTTGGAAATTGTAGAAGAAAGCCATGGAGGGTGACAGAGCACTGCAACAGGTTGCCAAGAGAGGTTGTGGAGTCTCCTTCTCTGGAGATCTTCAAAACTTGCTTGGATGCAGTCCTGTGCCACGTGCCCTAGGTGTCCCTGCTGGAGCAGGGGTGTTGGACTAGACGATCTCTAGAGGTCCCTTCCAACCTCAACCACTCTGTGATTCTGTGATTAATAACCTTACACATAGTATTTGTGTAAGCTTATCTCAAAAGGCACACAACTGCTACAGTTTTGGAAATTGTAGAAGAAAGCCATGATTTCTTTCAATGCTATCCATTTGCTGTTTAATACAGATGTAGATTATGGGGTGCTTCTGCTGCACAAATATTATAGCTCTGTCAAATACCTATCTTATTGTACATCTTTCCTGACTTGGTGAGAGTTCAAGCTTTCCAGACTCTTGCTGATTATTAACAAGATTATGTTTCCATAAGCATTTGAACCTATGTTCTTGAAATTCACATCATATGTGAATACTTTTGTGAGGAAAACTCAGTCACAGCAATGTTTCATGCGAAAGAAATGAGCTGAAAAGGCTCATCTATTGCTTCCTCAAAATTTTGAAGTGCTGTAATTCCATAAACTTTTTTTTTTTTTTTAATATGCATGTTTTTTGCTCTTGAGTGTCTTTCTGAGAGTGCTTCAAGGAGATGGAGGAGCTTCCAGGAGAAACTGGTAGGTGACCTCTTGCTTCAAAGGATGCTTTGGGTGGCAGAGCACCATGTATGTCCAGCTTGGTTATTCTCATTCATTTGTGTCTGCATTCTTGTTATGGTATGATGAAAAGTTATAGCTAACCAGACCTTTTAGCAGACTTTCTAATGATCTGTTTTCTTACAAGATAAAATAACTTCTGAAATGCCTGTCTTATCTTTTTAAAATATGTTTATTTCATTTTATACCTCCATAAGTTTAAGGGTTTCTTTTTCCTCATTAAAAATACTGTTTTGTTGGAATTTAAAAAATGGATAAGTGATTGGAAGGTCCAGAATAAGAATCCTGGTCGAAACAGGAGAGGTAATGCATCTCCCTGAGAGAAGCCAGTGGCACTCAGCAGGATGTGAGAAGCACAGGTTCGCTTCCATATTTCGCCTGATCTGCATCAAGTAGAAAACTTGCCTGTTTTACATGTCACCCTGCAAGTCTAAGAAAATTCTCAGAAAATCTGGTACATTTTCTTGACTATTCAGTGTCAGAAAGACTGTATCTATACTAGCAAACTGAGCAGTCCCAGAGCCTCTTTACCTCAATGGGCAAATGTCACAATCTGGTCTTGTCTGTCGTATTAAATTTTTTTCTAAAGAACAAGAGGCTACATTTAAAGAGCCTTTTGGGAGCAATCCCTGATCTGTGCCAGGTCCCCAACTACACCTGGGAACTGTTTGAAATAGCAACAGTTATTCTGAACTAAAACCATTTCAGGGATGTGCTAGGAATTTCACAGAACAGATGGTGAAAATCCAGTGTTTGACCCTCGTCCTATTTTTTTTTTATCAACCCTGTTTTATTAGTATATATATATATATATCCAAAGGTTCAGATTTTCATAAAAGAAAGTGGTGAGGGGGAAGATTAATGGTATTTTTTTTCTCATTAGAAAAAAAATGTGGCTGTTTTTTAATGAAATGTCTTGATTTATGTCTTACTCTGAGACCCACACAAATCTAGCAAAAGTATAAACAAGCTGCGGTCTCTGTTTCCTCTGAGTCTTCCCACACATAAGTGCACCTCACTATAACACCTGATTGGTCTTTCTTGTCCTTTGATCTGCTATCATGGTAGCAACTTAAAAAAAAACTATTTCCCAACTCCCTGTATCTCTTTTGAGAAGTGATGAGCGCTCCACTGACTTGGAATTCATCCTGGTGCCTGGCAAGAGGCGGGATATGCCAATACGATGACTGTGGTTTCCAGCAAGAAGAGATCGGGACCTGCCGATATTATGTCATGCTCTGCTGCAGGTGTATAGAATAAAGTGAACTGGAGATGTGGTGTCTGGAAAACTTGGAAACTTGGGATCTTTGTCTTGTGTGTAATAAGCATTATAATGGCAGTGATAATAAAATTGCTTTCTTACATTGGCATGTCTTGTTTGTCTCTCATTAGTTTCTAAAGAGCACTTGGCTGTCTGGGACTTAAAAGTGAATCAAAGTGGATCGGATTGTGATTTATTACCACTTTCTGAGAGAAAAAAATGTAAAAAGTAACTGACCCTTACGACCTCCAACTCCATACCTTGGATGCTTCCTAATTCTCATCACTTCAGCACCTGCACATCTCACAACACTACTGTGTCCTCACACATGGCCTTCTCAGGAAGCTGGTTCATCTCCATTTCACTGAGATGCTCTCTCTCCTATTCTGGAAAAAAAAAAAGGAGAGTTGGATGATGGTGTCTAATTTACTGGAATAGAGATACCACCAAAGAGTCAAAGGGACTTCACAAGGACACACAATAATTGATGGAGTTAAAAACAGTGCCCTGACCAACACATCAGCACCTGGCAGGAGAAGTGAAAATGAGAGAAGGAAGATGGCTGGAGCCTTTTCATTCCGAGTCAAATCAAGTTGCAGGTTTGCTAGAAGATTCATTGAGGCATCATAAGACAGAAACAAGTAAAGCATAAAGAGTCTGCTTACTAGCCCCAAATCAGGTCTTGTATGCAGATAAAGCACACAAGAAATTCTTAAAAGGTCCCTACAACTCCCACAGAAACCCATCAAGGGACTAGCACTGTGACCAATGATGAAAGGCCTCCCATGAAAGCAGATAACCCACCCACAAAGGCACACTGTAAACCCAAAATGTGGAGTGTTCTGAGCATATGAAGGGACAGGAGGAACCCCACCTGCATGTACCCATAGCTCAGCAGGCACGCAAGCTGGTGGAGGACACGGCTCAGCGCGGGGACTTTCCAGGCAAGCATTTATCATTTCTAATCAGATCCCAGGTGAGTGCCAAGTGCACTGGCTGCTCTCAATGGACCTGGGTTACCTAGGTCTGGAAGGAGGTGCCAGCAACATGCAAGAAAGCAGGTGTACACCACAGCTCCGCCCAAGAGTGAAAAGGGTCTTGCCTATTCAAGACCTATCCCTGTCAAAATCCTGACACTGAATAACTTATTTTTCTTTTGCCAATGTTTTTGTAAAGAAATGTTCAGCTTCAAAATTCGGGATTGGTAACCCCTGGTGCCTAATGCAATGGTGCATCTACATTAACAAGGTTTTGCAATAAAGATCTTAGATATTGGATTGTTTCCTGTGTTTATAGACAGATTATTTACATCCCATTTCCACTCCAGAATGTCATAGTCATTTGGCTGTGTGTAGAAAGCCACACACAGACATTCATACTCTATGGAGATGAGCCTCTCCACACCACAGAAGTTGAATTTTCTCTTTCTGCTTGGGGGATCCTGAAGGCAAACTGAAGAGAGCACTTCATTATTGGAGTGGAAAAGCACTTAAAAAGCTACTAAGCCTGGAGAGAAAAGGCAGAAAAATTCTGCATTTCACAAAGCTTGAGCAGGCTCACCTGGGAATGACCATGTGGCTGCATCAGGCATTGACTCTGCTCTTTCTCCAAGATTAGTATCTTTCAGGAACCAAATAGTCCATAGCTTCAAATCGGGCTGTGGGGGCAGGACAACATCAGATAAATCCTTTATATCGCTTACAGAGTGCATGAAACCTGAGCACAAGTAATTCCTGCCCCTCCTGCCAGCAGAGCTTTCCAAGTAGAGCAGAGCTTTCCAAGCACAAAACCTCTCTCCCATCCATTCTCCTATCCTGACGCCTTGCAGAGATGGAGTTCCTCTGGCTTGTC